AGTCCAGAAAGGCAAGTGTATCCTGGGGTACATCAGAAGAATCAAGACCAGCAGGATGAGGAAATTGATTCTCTCCCTCAATTCTGCTCTGGTAAGACCACACCTGGAGTAAATATGTTCAGCCCTGGGGCCCCCAACATAAGGGTGTGGACCTGCTGGAGCAAATCCAGAAGAGGTCCATGAAGATGGTCAGAGGGCTAGAGCACCTCTCCTATGAAGACAGGCTGAGGGAATTGAGGCTGTTCAGCCTGGAGAAGAAAAGGCTCTGAGGAGACCTTAGAGCAGCCTTCCAGTGTCTAAACAGGACCCGCAAGAGAGGTAGAGAGGGACCTTTTACGAGGGCGTGTGGTGATAGGACAAGGACAAATGTCTTTAAACTGAAAGGGTTTAGAGTGGATATTAGGAAGTGATTCTTTACTGTGAAGGTGGTGAGACATTGGAACAGGCTGCCAGAGAAGCTGTGGATGCCCCATCCCTAGAAGTGACCATGGTCAGGCTGGATGGGGCTTTGAGGAACATGATCTAGTGGAAGGTGTCTCTGTTCATGGCAGAGAGCTGGAACATGATGATCTTTAAGGTCCCTTCCAACCCAAGGCACTCTATGATTTCACCACCAAGTGTAAGACTGAGCAGCCCCTGGAGCAAAGGTTCTCTGCTGCCTGCCACAGGAGGGCTTTAGCTGCAGGTGGGAACCACCTGCTGTGCCACCATTGAACTGACACGGTGACATCGAGGCACCAGCATTCCTGGGGGGAGATACCCTGACAGGACAGAAGTACAGGGAATAATCCATCAAATCAAAAAAAATGCAGCACAAGCAATATGGCAAAGGACTGGCACTGAGTTGCTGATCAATAAGAGAATGGCAAGCACAGCATCCAGAAAGTGCATAACAGAGAAGATGTACATCCATCCTAAATATTATCTGTTAACATCATTAGTAAATTGCTGCTTGCTTCCCTCTTTGCCAAATAATCTTATTAATCCTGCCCTTAGATTAAAAAACTTCTTTAAGGCAATCTTTGGAAATGACTGCTCTTGTGTGGGTTTGGATGGAAGAAGTACAAAAAGTGACAGGAATCACATCTGGCAAAGGGAACGAACCTGTCTGGCTTCAGTGGCCACCACAGCACAGAAAGGAAGAGCACGGATAAAGACTGCCTCCTAACTATTACACAACCAGCACCAGCAGAGATGGTCGTAAAAGTGAGGAGGAGGCTCCTGACTGCACCAAAACCCACAGCACAGAGCCCGGGCACCCCAGAGCCCGTCTTGCAGTTTATGTAACACAAGGCACGCACCCTTTTGGGGCTGTCAGCTGTGAAAAGCGCCCGCTCCATCAGCAGCCATCGCAGCACTCCCGGGGCACCCCAAAGCCCGGGAAGGACATTACTGCTTTCTTTCCTTCCGCCCTACACCACCCTCGTTTTTCCTAAAGAATTAAAACAAATCAACCCCCAAAACCACGGATACGACAGAGCACTGCACGGGCTGCCGGCACGACAAGCGCAAAGCGGGAACCCAGACGCGCATCCCCCCGCCCCTCTCCCCTTGAGACGCCCGGCTCACCTTGAACGACATCCTGCACATCGCAGCGCTCCGCCCCGCTCCGCTCCGCGCGGCTCGCTCCGCGCCGCTCCGCGCCCGGGGCTGCGCGGGGCCGGGGCGGGGCCGGCGCCTCCTCCCGCAGCACCTCGTGCTCGTGGGGTTCTGGCTGCTATTGCTCTTCAGAGGTTCTTTTTGGGGTGGGAAGAGAGTATTTGGTTGTTTATTATTATTATTAGCATCCTTCTTCTTCTTCTTTCTTCTTTTCTTCTTCTTCTTCTTCCTATTATTATTATTATTATTATTATTATTATTATTATTATTTAGCAGAATAGATTATATTAGATTATAATGGAATCAATTATATTCGAACACATACTAATTATATCAGTGTACAATTGTATATAATTACAGAAAATTATGTTTTATTATTATTTTGGTTGCATAGTTATTATTGTTCTATTGTTGTTGTTGTTAGTAATATTAGTAGTTTTAATATTATTTAAAATGGGTCCCTGCTCCAGCAGCATTTTGAGAAGCCAGCCCCCAGGGTGGGGGACCCACACCACTCAGCCTCTGGTTTAGACCCTATGGAATAGCACTGTAATGGTCCAAACCCCAGTCTCACCCCAGCCCTATCCTCATCACGGTGCTAATGCTGTCTGCATAGCACCACTTTTGTATTTCACAGCCTCTTCCCCGCACATCTAAGCAAAACCTGTTAAGAAGTACTGTTGTGAGGACAGCCACAGTGCTGCCACTCAAATCCGTGGTGGGGCTGAGCGTTCCTTCACCTTGCCCGCATCCAGATATCACCAACACTATCTCCCACAGCTGATGTGCTCTCATTAGGAAGCTGGTAAGTTCTTAAGGGCTTAATTGTATGCCTTTAAAAATGAACAGCCTTAAAGCCAATTCATGTCCTGTTTTGCCTGGCTGCCATAGATTTCATTCAAAGTCTTCGTGATATAAAGTAGGCAAAGCAGGGCATGCTCTGGTGAGAGATTCCTGAATTTCTTTGCTATTGTTGGTTTAAACTGAGCCCTTAGGGATTTTCCTCTTTTGATGTGCACACATAAATCCCATTCACGAGAAAGTTATGCATGTGCATTGAGAGAAAATACTTGTGCTGAGATCCAAATAGCTCATTCTACAAATCTGCCAGTGAAGGGGTTTCTGCAGATCTTTTTCCTGAGGCAATGTTCATCTGTGCATCTGTGCATACAGTAAAACAAACGGGAGGCAAGCAGATGAAAGCTGCTAATAGCACCAGCTCATCTCAGAATGCATGGCCTGGTGCGAACCTTAATTACTGAGATATTAGATCCTGGATGATCACTCAGATTTCTTCTTAAACTTAAATGTAATGAATAAACTGAGCAGATTACATAGTTGGGAGTCATCCTTGCTCTGATCCAGTTGCACAGTGATGATTGTCCAGTGAAAGAGGAAAATATTACTGATCTGTACACACTCCCTACCTCACCCTTGGAAAATTCCTCTGTTTGCTCAATCTATTGTGAATAACATACCAAAATTTTCATGTTCATCAGCCAAAATATTAGATTTCATGACAAAAAACCCCAAAGAATTCTTTCGATGAACAACAAAAAAGGAGATGAAAGCAATATAGTTTTTTTAGGTCTATATTTATCTTGGGTGTTGGGGAAAGAAATTTAAGTGCTTTTCTTAATATCCCACAAAATTTGAAATTGCACCTATTTTCAGTTGCATAACTGAAAATAGATGTGAGACTTTTCTGTTTTCATATTTAGGTACAATAATTTGCCAGAACAATTGAATACAGAAATACATATATAAATTATGCTCCTTTTTAGTGGTCCTTTGAAAGCTTATCCCAGAAAGCACTTAGAAACAATTTTTTTAATGTAGATGTCTGCCTATTGTTACACTTGTTTATGGGCAAAGAGGACATGCACCTCACATGTATGTGTGTGTGTGTGTGTGTGTGTATAGATATAAAAACACAAGAATTTGTAATTATTATAACTGAATCTTAACAGTCTAATATAATAATCAATGCTAGAGCAAATTTAATTATAGCAAAAAAAGAAAGATGTCTAAACAGAGAAAAAAAATCAATATTAATAACATTACAGTTAAAACTTATATATACTTCCTAGGTTTTACTCCTTTTCTGGATGTTATCCTCACCTTTCCCCTGCTTTGCTAAGACCCAGAGTTGTTGGTTTCATTCTGATGGTGGTGGTTTGTGATGTTATGGTGAGCTGTAACATCTGGAATTGGACATTTCAGGGACTATGATGTTCATGTCAATGGCTTCTTCTTCTTCCCTCTAGGATCTGTATAATTCTGTTTAATACGTTTGCTAACATGCTTTTACCTCTGACTCTTTTTTCACTGGTCTGCAGCTCCATATTACAACCAAATTCTCATTTCAATTAGAAAAGCTGCTGTTAAAGATAAGCCATGTAAAACAAAATTGAGGGAGGTCAAGAAAAGTTTAAAAAGAGCAAACCTGGCAAGCCTCAGTTCCCGAGGCCCTGCAAACTCCATGCCTGTTACTATCATGGGAATACTGTATTTTAGGGCTACACATCTCCCCTATTCTTTAGTCTTGGCAGAATATTTAAGATTGCAAGATACAGACTGGTTGGGATTTGTTAGCTGCTTGGTAGAATTCATCTGCAGGGCAGCAGGCTGCATTCCTCTCACCTAGTATTTCATCACAGTAATTATTTCAGATATCCTGAGTCATGTTGTTTTGTTCAAATCTGAAGGCTACCAAGACTACCTAAAATGAATTGCAGGAACAAATTAAATTATTGCATTTAAAAGCTGATCCAACCATTCTGTATAAGTCACAGAAAAACCTTACCTGAGCCAAAACAGTTCAAGCATACATATATATAGCTGATTAAGAGAAATAGCACAAATTTTGGATTAGAAAAAAAATCCTTCAGAGATTATAATTTAAACCTCCATAATTTTTTATGCAAAGATGACATTAATTTCTATCTGCTTTAAAAAACAGCAATTAATAAACAATTACCCATTTAGAAATGTGAATAGAGAGCAATATAAATTTGCCTGCTGTGTATAATGGATAAATATATTTCAGCAGATAAAATGGTCTATGTGTGTTTTGTAACTTCAGTGAACTGTGACATGGGATTCTGTCCCCATGACAAAAACCTGTTGTTAAATTTGCCTGCCATCTTCCAGACTCCAGAGCTCTTTACTGCAGGGTGTGCCACACAACTGCATCTGTGTAACTCAGAAGATATTGCATTGACAAACATGTTTCTGCAATGGCTTTTGTAATTTCCCATATGGCTGTATGTCAATAATGTCAATGCTTTTGCTTTCAATATCACCTGTATAAAGATCATTGATGAAGGTCTGTGATATTTATTCTCTGATTGTAACTTAGCTTTAATTCTGAAGCTTTGCAAATGGTGGAGATCTTAATATAATGTTATTGATTTCAGCTGTATCTGTATTTGTCTTACTTTCTTGAACATTTGCTTCCATTAACATTTAGTTATTTAAATATTTTTTAAATGTAAATAGGTTTCTATGTTTTTCTAAAAATAAATTACTTTTTCTAAGGTATGAAAAAAAGCCAATTTAAAATGTAAAGTGGAGCAATCTTCAGCAGATTCAGTCACAAATTTTGAAGCCTGATTTTACCTAGACAACAACAGTAATAAGCCTGGCTACCATGAATAGCAAATTCTATTTTTATTTTGATAAAGGTATAAATACTCTTTACTACTCTAGTTCTCTGCATGATTTCAAAATCCTGGATCATTGCCTCTCCGACGACTGCGTTTGTTTCTGCCTATGACCACTTTTGTGGTCCTGGGCAAGTCTTTTGTGCCAAAATCTTTAAAAATAACTTCTCAGTTTGTTTTTCCTATGTTCTTTTGCCTTGTAACTCAAAATTATGAAACATTTGAGAGAAATACTACTTTTGAAACCATCAGCCTAAGGTTTTTGCGTATCAGTTTTTGTCAGGAACATTCAATACCAGCAGCAGCTCTAAAACTTTTGTCTCTTTGCCGATCTTTGGACTCTTTATGTTGCTGAAATCGTTCTTGATCTTGGCTAAATCCTGCTCTGTGCTGTGAACTGAGCTGGCAAGCTCAGACGCTACCAGCAGTTCTGCTGTGCCAGCATGGACATCTGCATAGACCAGCAAATCCAACTGCTTGGCTGGCTAAATCAGTTCACGCTGACCTCTCTGGGACAGCTGCTTTAGTGCTCTAGTCTGGATGAGGAGCTGATGCGAATCTCCTGATTGTCTCCCTTTATGGTGCTCTTTTCTTATTGGGAAGGGATCCTGTACCCTGCAAACTGGATCCTGTTTGAACTAACCTCAAAGATTTCCTCCAGGAGCAGACTCAGTGGACTGCAGCTGCCAACTGGGATTGAAAGAGAGTTAATCTAAATTTAAACTAACTCACTATTAAATAGGTACACTGTAGACTTCAGGTCCTCAGCAGCATTTGCTCTGCAGATTCACTCCTGTCAGGCTGTACTACTTGCAAATGTAGACAGCCTGTGTTGTGCCACTACTACCACAGCTAGCTTAGACGTCTCTAAACTGCAGTGCAATCTTTGATACAGAAAAAGTACCTTATAATAAGATGTCTGGTACAGTCATGCTGGCCCCCCTCTCCTGCCTGAAAAGTAGCCAAAGTCTTATGCCACAGCTCCTTCCCTCTTCCCTGTGTGTTTTCTCTCTTCCAGTGAGAATCTGGGAAGTCTCACTATTTGCCCAGGACTTGCAGATGTTCTGCAGCACCTACAAATGGGCCACAAACCATAGCCCTGTCCACTGCAGTCCACTGTGGGGTTCATGTATGTTTGCTTCCTCAGCCCATTTCAAGGACATGGTGAACCTGACCTTTTTCAGGGTGCACAATGCAAATTCATGATACATAACATACCTAATAAATGTGATACTTTCTAAGCATGCTGTATCTACTTGTGTCATCAGCTTGTACATGTCCAACAAGAGTGATACACCCCAGAGTGCCTGGGCTTGCCCATCCCCTGCCTGGGAGTATTAATCATTCCTAATCCAGCAGACTATACCACCTAGGAATATTCATTCTGAAAGTAATCCTTGTCTGCTTCTTGGTTTGGTGCCCTTTGGCTCCTTCACAGCACTTAGGGTTGAGTAACTGGGCTTAATTCTTTCAATGAGAGTGCCACTGCTCATCT